TTCTGTAATGAGGAAACAGGCCCAAGAGGGTAGATCAACTGTAAATGTTGCTCCTCTTCCTGTCACTAAGTTCCTTGAGGGCAAGGAGGGGATGGGATGCTTCTCTTGTATCTGCACACAGCTGCCAGCACAGAGAAGTGCACATACCTGTCTGTGGCCCTAGGCATGCCTGCTGCCTGCATTCCATCAGGACTCTGGATTCTCCTTTTCAACCTGAAAACAGCTCGTTTCTAATTACTCATCCATAGGAAGCACAGGCCAACAGATCCCCAGAAGTCACTTGGGACTGAGTTTCAACACTTTTGTTTCACACAGTTTCAGCACTCGCACCAGCTGCAGCTGAAGACCATAGGATTTCAGTGAAAAGCAGCTGGCTCCCTCCCCAACCCCTCTGCCCGTAGGCTGCTGTGGTTAGCACTGCACTCAGAGAAAGAATAAATACAAAGCAAAAGCCCCCGTTGTTCTAAGATAACCACAGAGATGACGGATGCTGTTGCATGCAAACCCTGGGGGAGAAGAGAGAGAAACAGCAACATTACAAATCCAACAAAGCATGGTGACAAGAAGCCTTGGTGGGCAAGTCCTATAGCTGAGGTGTGATTTCAGAGATCAGATGGAATGTGCCCTCTTGGTCCCACCATTCCCTAACCCCCTGCACTCTTCCTCTTTCAGCTGGCTGGGTTTAGAATTTCTTCAGCAGGGAAGAGGATTTTGCCCCGCTGGAAGAATGCTAATTCTCAGGGTGAGTGTTCCTTTGGGAGACCCCCAGCCCCCAGCTTACAGGATAAACAAACGGCCAGGAATGAGAAAAGCTGAGGTGGAGCAGCAAAGGGAGGGAAGGTTCCTTTGGCCCACCTTTCAACCCCGAGTAGGCTCCAGAGAGCTGCCAGTTGTGGTCATGCTCATCCTGGGCTGCGGGCAGAAGGATGGCTCAATACCTTAGCTCACAGCCACCACTTCTGGGCCCCACTTCCTTCCTTCATCAAGTAGTGTAAAATGACGAGGACCCAAGACAACTGGAAGCCACTCGCCTTGTTGTTCATGGTTGCTCCATGGTATATTTGTCTCTTTTGTCACATTCTGGACACAACCCAACACATCCATGTCACCAATACCACATACACCTGGTGGCACTGCAGCTCTCTGTTGACCTACCTGAACTAACCTCCAGGCACCAGGCTTGTCACTCACACCGAGCACAGTGCCTGGCATTCAGAAGTTGCTCAATATGTGTTTTTGGATGGAAAGAGCAAAAAGGGCAGGGGAGCCAATTCCACTCTATAAAATGGGAAAAACGATCAAGGAACAGCCGTCATGTTAGTTATGAGACCACACACGCATTGTCACCCACCTTCTTCGCAGCATGGAGCCATCTTGCCTGTTTTCAGAGCTGCTATTATCTTTGTCATGACTGTCATCTCCACAGCATCAGTAGTGACAAACTTAGCAGGTGAGAGGCACAACTGTAAACCACACCTTTTTTAAAAAGACTTTGGGGCCAGGTGTGCTGGCTCACGCATGTAATCCCAGCACTTTGGGAGGACGAGGCAGGCAGGTCATGAGGTCAAGAGATTGAGACCATCCTGGCCAACATGGTGAAACCCCGTCTCTACTAAAAATACAAGAATTAGCTGGACGTGGTGGTGCGCACCTGTAGTCCCAGCTATTCGGGAGCTTGAGGCAGGAGAATCACCTGAACCTGGGAGGCAGAGGTTGCAGTGAGCCGAGATTGCATCACTGCACTCCAGCCTGGGTGACACAGCAAGACTCTGTCTCAAGGAAAAAAAAAAAACTTTGGAAGCAGCACGATAGATTGGCTAAAATGTCAGGTTCTAGTGACAGAAAAACCTGGGTTCTGATCCTAGTTCTGTGTACGAGTTATGAGTCTTGGTGAAGCCACTTCACTCTGCTACTGTTTCCTTGTCTGGAAAAGGGAGATAGTGCTACCAGTGCTTTGGGGGCTCTGCTGAGATAATCCATGTAATAGAACAACACTTCTGACTGTCTTGTATTTCACTTTTATTGCTGGTCTCCATGCAGCTACTCACACAGTGCACAAAAGCAAGAAGAGGGCCGGGTTCTTTCCCTTCCACTTTTCAGCTCCTGAGATAAAAGCCTGGACATAGCAAGGCAGGGGCTGCAATCTCAAGCATACAGAAGAGTAACAGAAACGGGCTGAGTGGTGAGGGGCCGATGAAGAAGCAGAATCGCTTTCATATCGAGTCTGCCCTCCCCCTCTGCTGGAAAAAGACAGCCTCCTTGGTTTTCAGATTGCCCCTTGAAGAGACATGAGTACATGAGTGATTTCCCTTCCTCCTTAATACTCTATGAGGGAAACAGCACAATGTTGCCAGATGGCAGTCAGCGCTCAGGATGAACGCAAGAGGGTCAGCAAGAGGTGGTGGGGAACATGCCAGAGCGGGGCAGGGAGGTCTCTTTAAAAGGACAGCTGCTACCCAACCCAACCAGTTGTCCACATGTTAGAACCGAGTGTTTCCAGTTCTTCTGATTATTCAAAGATTTTTCAGAATTTTTAAATGTTACACACGTTCAGGGTCAACACGAAATGGCAGGTTTATTCTGTGCAGTGTTTCTTGTACAGAAAATGACTAAAAACAACCTGTGTTCATCAGTAGGGGATTGTTAAATTATGGTAAATCCATACAACGGGATACTACACCTCTGTAAAAAAAGAATGAGGAAGCTCCCCACATACAGATAGGGAAAGATCACCAAGATAAATTAAGTGAAAAAGGCAAGGTTAAACATAGTGTGTATAGTCTGCTATAATTACGTAAGAAGTAGAGGGATGGAGGCAGATATATATTTGTACTGACTTTTATCTGCAAAAAGGAATCCTGGAAGGTTGTATAGGAAACTAATAAAAGTATTTACAGGGGACGGGCAGGGCAGGACTGGCCACTGGAGGCAGGGATAAGATTTCACTGAATACCTTTCTATAGCGCTTTAATTTTTGAACCACGCAAATGTGTTGCCTATTTGAAAAATAATACAAAAACACTGTGTACACCAGCTACTGGGAAGAAAACACATCTACGGGCTATGAACAGCCTGCAGGCTTCTGGGCTGGAACCTTCACGTTAAGGGCTTCAAAACTGCAGAGGCAGAAAAGTTGGCGGCAGTGGGTCCAAGCTTTACTAGGTTTGGAGACAAGTAGGTTGTTCAGTGTCTGGTGTCTGGAACTCTCTCTGGATTGCCTGGCAATGAGCTAGTTGAGCCCAGCAGCCCCCACCGCCTCTAGGGGGAAAGCGACGAACTCCCAGCCTCTCTGGGAGAGACGGCTCCAAAACTCAACTTCCTGGGAAACTGAGGAGATCCAAGGTCTCCAGCTGCTGGGCAGACAGAATTTCCGGGCATTCCTCGACAGTTAAGGCTGCCTGGAACCCCAGTGGTGTGTTCCCCCCATCAAGGCTGTGTCCCACTTGTCCCATACAAAGGAGCGCGACAGGTGGGTGCGGTTCCTCCTCTGGAGCACGGCATCCAGTATGTCCAGCTGGGCCCAGCTCAGCACACCTCCCTCGGGAATGCTGAGCGCAGAGGACATGCTCCCCTGCTGACACTGCTGCCAGTCACTTCCAGGCAGCACCACGGAACACCGTGCATATTCATCCTGGCCCTTCGTATGTCCCTAGTCTTGTCACTGTGAATGAGCTCACCGAGTGTTTCGGCTTGAACTGTGATCTCCACATTGAACTCCTAACCCCCAGTACCTCAGAATGTGACCTGCTTTGGAAACGGGGTTGCTGAAGATGTAAAGAGTTAAGATGAGGTCACACTGGAGTACGGCGGTTCCTAATATGGCTGGTGTCCTTATAAAAATGGGAAAATTTAGAAACACACACACAGGGAGAATGCCATGTGATGATAAAGGCAGACATTGGAGTGATGCAGCTGCAAGTCAAGGAAGATCAAAGTCTGCCAGCAAATCGTCAGAAGCCAGGGCGAGGCAAAGAGAGGCCTCCTGTATACCACAGAGGGATCATGGCCCTGCTGACACCTTGGTTGCAGACCTCTAGCCTCTAGAACTGGGAGACCTGACATTTCTGTTAATCACCCAGTTAGTGGCACTTTGTTAAGGCAGCCCTAGGAAACTCACACACTCAGCAACCTCGGCCAACTCAGGTGGCAAAAGTACCCACCACCGCTCCTCCTCAGCAGGTACCGACAGATACTGGTGACAACCCTGCTCCCATGAGTGAAGATTCTGGGACCTGGCCCGGTCAAGTTGATTGTGTCGGAATCCATCAAATACTCAACCAATAAACAATGGCTGAGTACCCGACCTTGTGAAGAATGCAAGAGAAATAAAATATTCCATTACTGCCCTCAAGGAGTTGATAATCTGAAGATTCAAGAAAGACACATGTAATAATGGCCAAATTAGTATTATTTTCCCCCAATCCTCACCCATGACCAGCAGATGCCACAGAAGTCACTCCTAACTAAATTGCACTGTGCTCCCAGCTGGATTCAACCTTCTACTGCATCTCATTTCGCTGCTCCCTGCATGTGTCTGGAAAAACTGCTTTTTCAGCTCTTCGGGACATTCTTTAGGATGTCAGGCTATTAGACAATTTCCAGAAGCTGTTGCCACTGCTCCTGACATGGAGCCCACACTTCTTGCCCACTGTGGACACCCACTCCTGGCCAGAATTGTCTGCCACCCCTGGTGAAGCCACTCCCATCAGTTTCTTGTGAGCGCTTTTGTCCCAGTCAGAGAAGCAGACCCTACGGGTTGTTGAGCCTATTCTGCAGCTCTCAATGAGTCTGACAAGCAAAAAACATGAGATCCAGGGGGTCTGAGAGCCCACTTTGTTAAGCTGACAGTTTTCAAGCCAGGGGCAGGCTACAGAAAATCAGAGACCCTCAGCAGAAATGCTGCTTTCTTATCCTCGTTCAGAACATTTGTTTGCTTGGCCCAGCCTTCTCACAGGAGGCTGCTCCCAGTACCCCCTGCATCCAGGAACTCCGATTCTTACCATCAGCAAGAGTCATGTCCAGCCACATGCCTGGCAGGAGAGGAGGCAGCACACCTGTGTGGAGTTCTCCTGGCACTCCTGCTGAATCCCAACGCTCTGGACTCTGGCTCCTGCAGGGTTTTTCTTGTGCTAAGTGCCCAGTGGAGGCTCTGGCTGGGCTCATGGAGGAAGAGTGGCAAGTCGCTGCTGCCGCACCCTTGACAAACAGCCCAATGACCCTGGGTGGCTCCGTGCCAGCCTCCTGAAGGACAGCTGTGGTCAGGGCATGACCTATGGGTAGAACAGAGAGAGGAAAGGGTTCCTCACTTTGACTTCAAGCAATTCATTTTAGATTATCTGGGTTGGGCTTTGAGGCAGACACTGTTGTCTGCTGAAGCAGCATCCATTTTTCCTTTCCTCCTTTCTAGCAGATTCTGTCCACTCAGGACAGTGACCTCCCCAGCTCAGAGGCCTCATCCAGCCAAAACAAAGCAAGCTTCTTGCCAGTGCATAGATTGGGGTGGACTCTACCTGGCCTCTAGTCGTTAAGATGTGAGAGGAGCCCCGCTAGGGGTGCTTGGGGAAGCGTTTTCCCAGCTCTTTTCCTCTGCTGGATGCTGTGCCATCTAATGTGTTGACTAGAACCTCTGCAGCCACTTCGTGACCATGAGGAGGAAGCCTGAGGCAGAACAGAAAGAATGAACCCGGGCCCCTGATGACATCGTTGACCACTGGATCAGACAACACCAATATCATCCTTCCTCCAGACTTCTTATGACACATGTAATAAATATCCTTGTTTAAATCCATCGAGTTGTGGGGGTTTGCTACTCATAGCTAAGATTATCCTAAGTGATGTGCACTGAGATGTTCCTGAGACCACAAGACCACATTCTTGAATCCAATCCCACTATCCTAACTACAACATTCTCAAATTTTCAGGACACACACACCCACCCACCTACACACACTTTTTTCTCCACTTTTTCATGGTATTCAGTCCTTTTCCTAGACTGGACACATTTTGCCATATTTTCTTTTTTTTTGAGATGGATTCTTGCTCTGTCGCCCAGGCTGGAGTGCAGTGGCACGATCTCAGCTCACTGCAAGCTCCGCCTCCCAGGTTCATGCCATTCTCCTGCCTCAGCCTCCCGAGTAGCTGGGATTACAGGTACCCGCCACCATACCTGGTTAATTTCTTTATATTTTTAGTAGAGATGGGGTTTCACCGTGTTAGCCAGGAAGGTCTTGATCTCCTGACCTTGTAATCTGACCGCCATGGCCTCCCAGAGTGCTGGGATTATAGGCGTGAGCCACCGCGCCCAGCCAGTATTTTCAATAAATTCTGCAACATATGCCAACTCCATCATTTAATTAAGAAACATTTTTTACCCCCACTGATGTACCAGACACTTTGCGGGACTCCCGGGACTCAAAATTGAAGTCAGGGACTAAACACGGAAAATGGCATGGAAATTCCTCAAAAAACTAGAAACAGAACTACCATATGATCCAACAATCCCACTTCTAGGTATGTGTCTGAAGGAAACACGATCAGTAGCTCAAAGTGATCCCGCACTCCCGTGTTCACAGCGGCAGTATTCACAATCTCCAAGACATGGAAACAACCCAGGTGTCCATCAACGGATGGATGGATAAAGAAGCTGTGCAGTGTGTGTGCCTGTGCGTGTGTGTGTCTGCGCACGCGCATATACATAATAGAATATAATTTATCCACAAAAAGAAGGAAATCCTACCATTTGCGACAACAGGGATGAACGCTGAACCTCGAGGGCATTATGCTAAGTGAGGTAAGCCAGACAGAGAAAAGCAAATTTATGATCTCACTTATATGTGGAATCTAGAACAATTGAACTCAGAGAAACAGAGAGTAGAATAGTGGTTGCAAGGGGCTGTAGGTGGGGAGAACGGGGAAATGTTGGTCCAAGGATACAAAATTGCAGTTATAATGTGGATAAGTGGGTAAGTTCTAGAGATCTAATGTACAGCGTGATGACTTGAGTTAATACTGTATTGTACACTTGAAATTTGCTAAGAGGGTAGATTTTAAGTGCTTCTGCCACATACGCAAAAATGGTAACTAGGTGGGGTGATGAATGTGTTAACTAACTTTATAAAAAAAATTTTGTCTTTGAATTCTATATTAACCAACTTGATTGGGGTATCATTTCATAACACATACATATATCAAATCATCATATTGGACACCTTAAAATTATAGAATTTTATCTTTCAGTTACACCTCAATGAAGCTGGAAGAAAATGAAGCCTTGCGGAGACACACCAAGTGAGCCCAACTCCTGGGAAAGAGGCGAGTGCAGGGTGGCAAATGCTAGGATATGGTGCACGCGGGCCTGTGTGGGCACAAAGAAGGGTGCAGAAGGCCTGGGGCTGGGAGGGTGTTAGCAAAATGCTCCTCAGAAAAGAAATGAATTCTTGAGAGGAGACGAGAAAACTGCAAGCAATAAAGAGAGGGAGGCAGACATTCACAACCAAGTATGTAAATAATAATACAAATAACAACCAACAATGGTGGCAACTAACAGTTCCTGACACTTACAATGACCCAGGCAGTGTTTGAAAGTCTTCTGGGTACTAACCCATTTAATCCTCCTCCAAAGCCTGTAAGGTAATTCAAGGATTAGTCCCATTTTATGGATAAGTAAACCAAGGCATGGAGAGGTTAAGTGACATAGGAAGTGGGTAGCAGAGGCAGGATTTGGACCCAGGCAGTGGAGCTCCGAGGCTCCCATGCTTTTTAGGATACACTGGTGGTTCTCACAGTGGCCACCAGAAGAGAAGCCCCCGCAGACCCTGGAAACTTGTTACCAATTCAGATCCTGGGCCTCATCTCAGACCCCACAGAGTTAGAACCTCTGCAGGTGAGGCCCAGCATGCCATGTTTTTACAGCAGGCCTTCCTTGCGATTCTGATATTTGAGAACCCTGCTTGACACTATAAGCCTGAACTGAGAAGGGATGGCATGCTCAGAGGACCATGAATGCTGCAAAGAGAAGCAAAAGCCAGAGGGAAAGACAAGGAAGCTGTGAAGAAGCTTGCACGTCATCCTCAGGAGGATGGGCTTCACTGTATGGGCATGAGGGAGAGAGGTGTGGGGTGAGGCAGGGAGGTGGCTTGATTAGGCTTTGTTCTCTGTGACAAGATCTCTGGCATGAGTGCTAGATGGAGAAGAAGATGGAAGGAGGGAGCCCAGGTAAGAGGTTGATGCCATGACCCCAACAAGTACAGCAGGGGCTGCACTAAGGTCGTGGCAGTGCAGAGAGAGGAGGGATAGGGACAGATTCAAGAGACAGAGTGTGATGACAGTTGAACATGGGTACTGAGCTGGCAGAGGTATCTAGGATGACTCCATGACATCTAGCTTCAGAGGTTAGGTAGATGGGTGACATTATTTAGCCAGATAGGAAATTCTACAGGAAGAACAAGTTTGGCAAGGAAGAGAATTAGTTCCACTTGGAAATGTTAAGCTTGAGGCTTCTATGGGACATCGGGGTGGAGGCATTTAGGATGCAGTGAGAGAAAGATCTGGTGTGCAGGAGTGGGGACAGGGCTGGACATACAGGTGTGGGATTCGCCAGTTGAAATATATAAGGGTTGAAGCCACAGACATAATTAAGGCTGTTCACAGACTGTGCAGAGGGAGCAGAAAAAACTGAGGGCTGGAATCATGCAGGACACTGACATTTAAGGGACACTCAGAGCACATCAGCCAAGGAGGCTCAGAAGCAGTGCTCAGAGAGAAAGCAAAGGAAATAATGTTGTCTCAAAACCAAAGGATGAGAAAAGATGGAGAATGTTTACAGAACTAGAGGTTGACAGCAGGTTCAAATGTTGTAGACATGTCAGACATTCCAGAGAAGAAACCCTGGACGTATCAATGAGGAGGTCACGGGTCAACTCAGTAATATTATCAATGAGGAGGCCATGGGTGAACTCAGTAACAGCAGTCCCAGTGGAAGGATGGAAGTCGAAGCCAGATTCATTCACAGATGCATTCTCCAATAAGCAACAACTACCATGTGCCAGGCTTTGTGCTTTGCGCTGCGATAGGGTGATGAACTCAGCCCTTACCAGGTAATGGAGAGGGGAGAAAGTGGACAGAAATTACAACAATGATTATGGATCACAATTGGGGTAAACGCTCTGATGAAGACATGAAGACATACAAAGGGCTTGCTATCGGGAGCCCAAAGCAAAAGGACCAACACAGAAGACGAGAGAAAGGAAATTACATTTATGTGGGGTCCACGGGGTGAATAGAAGCAACCCAAGGAAAGGTGGGTGGGAAGCGTGTTAAGGATGGGGGACAGCAGGCATAAATATCCTCAGGTAGAACGAGCTTTTTTGTGTGTTCAAGAAATGGAAGGAAACCAGGGTGGTGAGAACAATCCTAACGTGGAAGAGAGCGGTAGGAGATGAGGTTGAAGAGTAGGACTTGATGGGCCAGGTTAGAGATTCGGGACTTTATCCCAACAAGCCATAGGAAATCATTAAAGTTAAAAATCTAAAAGGTTGGGAGAGACATGATCTGATTTGCATTTTTAAAAAGATGACTTTGGCTGTTTGTGGGGAGTGAAATTGGAAGAGGAGGGACATGGAGTAGATACATGGAGGCTGGTTGTGGGGAGTGAAATTGGAAGAGGAGGGACATGGAGTAGATACATGGAGGCTGGTTGTGGGGAGTGAAATTGGAAGAGGAGGGACATGGAGTGGATACATGGAGGCTGGCTGTGGGGAGTGAAATTGGAAGAGGAGGGACATGGAGTGGATACATGGAGGCTGGCTGTGGGGAGTGAAATTGGAAGAGGAGGTACATGGAGTGGATACATGGAGGCTGGCTGTGGGGAGTGAAATTGGAAGAG